GGCAATGCGACCAAGTGGTTAACGTGTCAAGCTCACACTCTGCACTGTCACGGTTCGAATCCCGCTAGGGATGTTGATAAGACCAGTTAATGCGAGGTCAAAACGGCAGTCCACTCCAGCCGGGATGAGAACAACTTTTAAGGCTCTGTGAAATTCAATGGAAACGTCAGCTCTATCAGTCCCTCATTACCTTAAACGAAATTTTGTGAATACATCTCATACTACTGATTTACTGGTAGTCTCGAAATTCTATATTCGTGTTTACCGTCCAGTCGAGATGAGGCCGTCTTTCGAAAATCGTGGCTCCTTTTACTCACGTTTTCGTGGTCATTTCCACTTTCAGACCTTGCAAACGGATTCGCGTTTACGACCTACTCAGTTTGTGGCATCGGGACTTGCTGCAACAGGCTTTCAACATTCGAAGATATCTCAGCCTACTCATTATTAATAAAAGTAGATTAACACCGAATAAAAGTTGAGTTTCCAGATAGCTGTTGGTTTTCATTTAATGAACTTATCACCATTTTGTTTTTACCGGAATCGGACAAAATAGCCTCAGCTGGAGCGTCAACGAGCACAATTGGTGTGATTTAGCTGTGCCAATCACTTCATCACTTTCCTACGCTTTCACACAAAATGCAAGTTAACTCAACCCTTGTTAACCGAGAGGTCTCCCGAAATCCAACCTTTGTATGCAGGTTGTGCACATTCCACAGTCTGTACCAGCCTCTAGACAAGCATTTGGACTAGACGGTCGATGGTCGAGCTGTATGGACCTTCCAAGGGGTACTGGACGATGAGCGCCCAGGATCAGCCTGGATCGCTTTCGCATTCCAAGTCCCATCCTCGAGGCTGTGAAATGGGTTGCACTTTAAATTACGCAAGACCTTCACACTCAGACGGGACCGGGGCTGTCACGATGCCGGCCGGACTGGGAAATTGTGAGTTGCTGATGCCGACATGCACAACAACCCACGCTGACAATCATTCCGAAACGTAAACTTAAGAGTGATCTAGAAAACTGGTAAAATGATGTGCTTTCAACTGGACTTACTGAAATTTCTCTTAAGCTCCTGAAGTAGGTTCTTAGTCCCACCGACTTGACATAAAAATAAAAGAAAAAAAATAGTATTCATAATTTCAAAGTAAGTAAATTCTTAGACAATCAGCAATGCCCGAATCAGAGCTTAGTCATCTCAGGTCACCTAAGATTATTTAAGGACCAAGAGGTGGGTTTTCCAACTATCGGATGACTGAGCCTCACAATGCCATTTTATTTTAATCATCCTTGCCTTCCAAAAAATATATTCCCATCCGGGGTCTACTACAATTGCAAACTCGCATCCCCAACTGGATGGAAAATATTTATTACATGTATGAATTAATTAATTTAATTAATATATGAATAAATAAATATATATATATATATACTATATATACAATATTTAGATCGTATATTATTATTATTATTCATGTTAATAGGTTTCGAGATTATCAGCAGTTCTTGCATAGGAACGCAGTCAGTCAAGTCGGTTGATGTGGTCTAAGGGCTGCGAAATAAGTGTTGCCACAATGCGATTAGTGGGCCCTTAAAGCCTTCTGATTTCACTGGGCTTTGCCTTTAAACAGACGAGCTCATCAAGGCTCGTCCGGAAATCAAGTTATGAGTAACGTGGCCAAATCGCATTTTAAATTTTTATCATTTCAATCGACGACACTACTTATTTTGGCGTAAGTAGTTTTCGAGTATGTCCAGGTGAAATCCAAGGGTTTCTACAGGCCTTTTCATCTGATTGTTCGAAAAAAACTCAACTATTCGTCCTGCCTTCGCTATAGCTTACCTCAGCTGGCCAAGTTCTCATTCAAGACTGTCCCTATTTTGAGAATTTCACACAATTTATATGCTTTGATCTAGCCTTAATGAATAAACTGTTGCCTTCAATCGGTCGAAGTCTCCTTTATGGTAACTGCAGTAGTCCCCACAACTATTCATCCTCGGACGGCCGAGGGTATTTTATTTATCTTTTGACGGGCCTATCAATCACTCTCTCGT